TTGCATCACGAGGCGCCGCGGCGAGGCGGGGCGGGGCGGGGTGTAGCGTCGCGCCGTGCCATCCCCAGGCGTGCGTTGCTCTAGTTGTCGCAAGGTATGCAAGGGTGAATGGAAAGGTATCGAGCACAGATAACGTAAGTGCAAGAGTGAGAGCCATATAGTGAAGTCTATTCTCATGCTATGTACCCCAATGAGACGGTCAAGAAAGTGTTTACCTCTCTCTGGTTATAACCAGAGAGTTCTCCCAGTTCTCAAAAAGAAGCTGTCGTAGGAACTCGAATACGTTCAAGATGAACTTTCGCAGTGATGGTGTGCTCTCGGACGTCCTGAATACCGTCCGTCTTATGCCGCCTTACGGCCTGAACTAATAGGCAACCCGAATGCACTCGTGCATGCCGGGCACAGTCCGCAACGGCAAAAGCGGGCGTGGGAGAGAACATATTGTATTCGGGACACTGTTTGGCTTCGCCTACTTTCATAATGCAGCTAGTAATGCAGCGGGTTGCCTGCCTATCGCACGATCTGTAACAACTCGAGATGAAAAGCAAGGCTTACGGTTCAGGAAACGCTCCGAAACCTAGAGAGAAAATGTTTCACTTTTGCTGTCTCTGAAGATTTAGAGAAAATATTTGTCACCCTTCATGTCATCAATTGTACATGCCTCTTCTTAACGGAGCGGACACTGCAGTTTTGTGGGCTTGCGTATTTGTTCAAGTACCGAGTCTAAAGGCTAATACTCCCCAGTGTTGCGGGGTTGCATACTCAAGGGGCTATGGCGCCTTAAGGGCAGATCGAGTAGGCAAACCCACAACACTGTGGTGTATTTCCTTTACAGACGGTACAGAGGCCACTATGGTGCCTTACGGTCGAATGGAGTAGGCAAACCTGCAATAACACTGCGGAGTCCGCTCTGAAACATCTGGTCTATCTAGACTTGCAAGGATAGAAGAGAAGTTATTTTTCAGACCTTTCAGTGGGTGATCGAGATATCTAAGGTGTTGTGCTCACGGCGCCTCGCATATGACAATAATGTTTAATTCGTTTAATTGGCACTTGCGGTGTTGCAGATTGCAGATAGCATTGCTAATTACCCGTGGAGCCCATGCCGCGTTTCAGCTTTTTAATTATTTTAGGCAGCACGCACCTGTCTTCATCGATCTCGCATTTAACATATCGTTGGTAAATTGCATCGGCGCTGAACGGCTATGCTACTAGCTGTGCAGGCAGGTTTCCTCCCTCCCCCTCCTCCTCCTCCTCTCCCGCCGCAATGCTGTGCCGTAACATTTCCTCGTTCCCAGTTTTGCTGCCTCGCCGGGGCCCGCCCGCCCGTCTGGCCTCTTTTCCTCTTTCCCCCGACACACTTCGCGGGGATAAAGAGGACGCGGCCGAGGCGGCCCCGCGCAGCCCTGCGCAGCCCGGTGAAAGGGAGAGTGGCGGGGCGGGGCGGGGGCGTCGCGCCCTTATGAGGGCCGTGCCACAGAGGCTTAAAGTAACAATATAGTAGCCTTATGTCAACATTATTTTTCACCTATGTTATTATTGGCCTACAAACCTAGGTCTTCTCGAAGTGTAGTTGACAGCATGTCATGGATGACGATGGTGCCTGGGACTATAGCTGGAGGCTGGGGGTTGGGTGTGAGGGGGTCATCTCAGCAGTTGCCTTTGTGCGACACCTCTTTTGGGTCCCAGCCCACTTGGGTGCTCTGCGAGTAGAGTGAGTGCACAACGACGGCCCCAGCCCGCGCTGCGGCGGCGTTTCGAGCACTCACTCAGCTTGCGGAACACTGACATTCTCCTCCAGCTCTCCCTCTCTCTTTGTCCCTCCCTCGTTCTCACTGCAAGCCCTCTGCCAGCGATGTGCCCCGTTCACCCCCCCCCCCTCTCCTCTCTCTCTCTCGTACTAGTGCACGCTGCACAAGCCGAGCATAGCCTCAACACGGCGGCGCTACGCGGCGGCGCTACGGTAAAGCGGTTACGCGGCTTTGCGCAATATGAGCCGCGCTGGGCCGGCCAGGCCGGGCAGGCTGCAGGAGGCCCCCTGCAGGCCCGGGGCGTCTGTTACGGACACGGAGGCTCGCGCCGTGGCCGCGCAGCTCGCCGACGACTCCAAGTCGACTCGACTCGGCGTTTACTGATCTTGTGCTCGGCCCCTCGGGCTGCGCGCCGAGCCGATCCATCTCGCAGTATAGGATCCTATTTGGCTCGCCAAACTGTTTTGCAACTCTCGCTCCGCCCATTCTCATTGGCTCGAGCTCGGGGCGCGCGGCGCGGCGCGGGGCGGGCGGACTAGTGCTCCGCGTTATTGTCGTGCCTCGCTTTTCCATATTTAATGCCGCGGACGCTTATTATTGACAGGCGGCGCTCGCCCCGCTCTGGCCGACATAAAACAACGAATCTGACTTCACATCGACAAATCACAAATCAAACTCCAGACAAGACAGAACTCAGGCGGCGGCAGTTGGGCGAGAGTAAGCGCGAGCGCGAGCGCGCGCGCGGCCCGTGGTGTTGGTGGTGCGGTGCGGATCCGCGAGACCGGCAGCCGGCAGCATAGCCGACCGGTCCCGTGAGAATTGTTTCGCTTCCAGCGGATTTGGCCTTCGCGGATCACCAGAGCCCGGCAGTGTTTGCTCCCTCTCCGGTGGTGTGGTGTGATGGAGCGAGCAATCGCGGGTAGTGAGCGAGCAAGTGTTTTGCACGGCGTAGAAAACCTTTCTCCTTCCGACACGCTGCTGCTCGGCGCTATGCGCGGCGGCGGCTATAGCGCGCGAGAGGTGCCGTTATGGGAGTGACCGAAGAAGACAACGTGTTGTGTTCAAGGCCTCCCGCCTCTCCCGCCCGTTGACTTCCTGATGCCGGCGCGCGGAGCGGGCGGAGCGCCACGAGCGAGCGTAGGCTTGCCGGCTGCCGCGGCGCGGCGCGATGGTTTCCTGGCGTCGGAAAAGCTATAGCTTGTCGTCATTTCAATCTGCTCGCGCGATTCCTTCTCCGTCCGCTCCGCCCGGCTCCTCTCCGCGCCGCGCCTCCGCCGTCCGCTGTCATACATTATGACGCCGACACGCCCAGCCGGCTGCCAGCGCCGCGTGGTCGTGTCGCGGTGTGTGTGGTTGGGCCTCAGCAGGGGGCTATGTATAGTGGACGAAAAACAACGTGAAAAAGTATCTCGTGTTAGGTGGCTCGGAAGTACTTACTTGTCATGGAAGTCGGACTACAGTGTCTATGTACCACTCACAGTCAGTGTAACACGTTAAATGCGGGATGCGGGGTGCCCAAGTAAGGAGCCTATAGATAGACAATTCGAAGCACAAAAAAACTGTATCCAGGAAACCAACCGAACTTTGTCTTTCCCAGCCAGCCAGGACCCGAAACCGAACCTGTTTTATGTCCCCATGATTTAACATGGGAGCGAGACCACATGGTGGTCATGCCGCACTCAAACGTGTCAACGCAATCGCGTAGTCTACGCGACAGATGTTTTTTGGTGTGCTTGGATAAAGCC